CACACCGGGACCATTGGGCTCCCCAGTCGCAAGCAAGGGGTCCTTGTTGCCCACTTTGGCACCCCTGGAAGGACAGTGTGGATCAGGCTGATGGGTATTGGCAGAAAAATAACCACAGCATCATCACGACCTCAAACTGTGTTTGATCCAATGGCTAATGGGGTCATTAGCAAAGGAAAGTAATTGTAGGTGTGCCTCACACCTGATGGTTGCTTCCAGATCAATGGCCATTTATCATCCTCTGGCTTCTCCACCTGGGGTGTAAGGAATGGCATCAGATTGGTCTGGCATGAATTCCTGGGAAGGTAAACATACTTCATAACCATCCCTGGTGCTGGTCGATGCCCTCCAGGGTCTTCCTGTAGTGGAAACTCACAGCTACCTCTGGCCTCTGCCCAGAAATGGGCCCCGGTGTCTCAGTATTCTCAGCATGTGACACGCCACACCCTGGGGCACATGGGAGATGGCACGTTTGGTCCCAGAGGCACCCAGCAAGCCTCCTCCTCGAAACAGCACTAGCTAGACAGAATCAATTTCCCACTGACTTTCAGCCCCATCTCAGACACAGTGTAATTCTTGTCTGAGGGTTTATAAAGGCCATTGACTGTCTTATAAAAGATTTAAACACTTACCTTGTGGCATGTGGGAGCTCTATCTCTCACGGTGCGTTTTTGACAATTTGTGGGGGTGGCGATGGGCTGGGGGAGGGGCAGCTTGCACTCCCACGGCAGGCATGGCTCAGACAGTGCCTGCTGGACCTGCTGGACAGAGTGTGAACTGATCAATCGAAGGACCCTCCAATGCATCACCCAGGGGGCTCTTCTCCACAGGGAGTCAGGATCCCCGTGTTCCATTTTGCAAAGAGATCCCACGTGACACAAGATAATCCTTACTCCGACATCCCTCTACTGGAACCCGGGGCACATAACTGTGACATGATTGGAACCAGAGGCATCTTTTTATCTAGAACAAAGGACTTGCTAGGTAGCAACAGTTATTGTGGAACAACATTATTGTGGAACAATAATGATAACCTTTTGCTCTTGGTTAGCCCCACTCCATAAGGTGTGTCCATATCTATTCTTTTTACCCATAGAGTAACTCTGGAAGGTAGATGGAACCAAGACTGTTATATTCATTTTACAGATAGGGAAACTGAGTTTCAGAGAGCTGAAGTGTGTATTTGGCCAATATAATCTCAACTGTTAGGCAAAGCATTACTTCCCAACTTACCTCTCTCTTCCCCTTTACTGCCTATTCTCTTTTTATCCATCCTCCCTGTAACCAGTCACGTGGTGCTTCTTAGGGAAAAAGAGAGGAGTGAGATGATGGGATTCATTTCCTGAGGGATCTCAGTTCAGGGGATGATCTAGACCAGGAGCTGGGTGATTGCATTTCAGTGTGTTTAGTGCTCTCATAGCTTTATGGTCACAGAAGCTGGGAGCAGAGGAAAAGGGATGGTCAGAGCTCTGTGGGGGGGCAGGAGGGTTGGTGGTCAGTTAAGCATGGTGTCAGAACATAGGCATAAGTGCTGAGGCATGAGGATGCCCAACCTGCTGGGGAATTGCAATAGTGGCATGTGTTAGGGAAAAGACTCATGAGGTGCAGGTTAGGGAGTGAGGGGAGTACGAGCTGGCCCCCTTACCCTCCCTGATGGTATCCCCCCACTCCTCTCCCTCTTGCTTACTTTCTTTTGTCCACACTGGTCTCCATGCTGTTTCCCAGGAACCAGGTGTGTTCCCACCTCAGGGCCTTTGCACCAACTCCTCTCACTCTGTGGAATGGTCTTTCCTGGATCTCCTCAAGACTCACAGCACCACTTCCTTCAAGTCTTTGCTCCAGTGTCATTTTCTCAGGATGAGTCCGACCACCCCCTCCTCAGCACTCCAGATCTCCTTTCTCTGTCCTCCATCTTCCTTTTTCCATAGTATTTACCACCTTCTAACATGCTGTGTAGTTTAAATACTTATTAATGAAGGCAGGGGTCATTGCCTCGGATTTATCCCAAGTGCCTAGAATAGTGCCTGGTGTGGAGTAGATACTCAATACATATTTGTTGAGTAGATGAATTAATGGATGATTGGTTTTCAATGATTAGCAAGCTGAAGGGTTGGGATTCATTGATGTGGACAATGGGGAGCTTGAAATTTATTGTGGACAGGAGCTGAAGGAAGTTAAGCAGAGGAGTTACGTGTTTATATTTTGCTTGGAGAGGTTAGATGGAAGGGTACATAAGGATGGGGGAGACATAATCCAGGTGTGGAATGAAGAGGTTTGGGCTGGGATGGGGAGTGTGTGGCCTAGGAGGAGGGAGACATCTCATGGGGATTAGACAGACTTGGCTCCATGGGCTGCTTGGAAAGCAAGACTGAAGCTGATTCCTTGGTTCGAGGTTGAGTGACTGGGTGGAGAAGCTGGTCCTTCACTGAGTCTGAGACCAAGGTTGAGGGAAAGCTTGCTGTCCAAAGCTTGTGTGTGTGGGCGTGTGTGTGTGCATGTGTGCATGTATGTGTGCAAGGGAGGCAGATCTATGCTGGGGTGCAGGGGGTACCAACCATGCCAGTGACGCTGTGCCTTTGACTTGGAGGGCAGGAGCCATCTAGCATGGAGTTGGCTGCGCCACCAGAGGGCTGGAGTAGGGCAGAATTGTTTGCTTTTGGCTCACCTGAAAACTGGTGGGAGGAAAAAAAATCAGACAACAGAGTGGTGATCTGACTGCCATCTGCTTGGTGTTCTAGGGCTGGACTGAAGGTTCTGGTAAGAATACTGTCTGACTCAGAGGAGGACACTCAGTGATTCTCAAGTTAGAGCAGGGAATACAGTACTCAGTCTCCTGAGTGGGTCTCCTATGGGGCCAAGCTTGGGGGCTCAGCATATCCTGCTTCCACCTTCATCCTGGGCTCCTGTGGCTGCTTGCGTCCTATCCCTACTCCTCTCCTTGGAGTCCTCCCCTCTTCCTTTCCCTCCTCCTCATCTGTCTGTGTGGTTGCCTGTGGCCTTGAGGCCTTCTTATCTATCACAGCCTTTGTGCTGACATACATGTGGCCCAGCAACTAAGGGGCTTCTCCTACTGGACTTTTGATATCTATGGGCAGACACCCCATACCACAGTGGCAGGAGACCAGGTTTTGATCCCAACTCTGCTATGGACATTGGAAATAGGACCTAAGGAAAATCCTCTTTCATTTTGGAATATCAGGGTCCTCATATGGAAAGGAACAGAGTGATGACTGCCGCATAGATCTAGGTCAGAATGCTGGAATCTGAGGGTTGATAGTGGGAATGAACAGTTGGGTATGCTGTGGGCAGGAGGAAGGATCCTTTGGTCCTAGACTTGCAAATATCACCTCTCATGGCATCTTCTCTGTTAAGTGGTGCCTTCTACAATAGGACAAACATCTCAAGAAATAGCCATATACAATTTGTTCCTAAAAAGAACATTATGCCATAAAAGCATTCTAATACTTGATGAATTTCCTCTGAAATGCCAACATTTGATAAGCTTCCTCTGAAAGTTTTGAAGACCTTTTAATCTCCTCCTAAAAGCATTCTACAGAAGAGGGAAATGGGTATGTACCTTGACTGAGGGGAGCTCATGAACACTTGGATCCTCAGTCACCATACTTCAGTTAACCCTTATGGTGGCCACGTTCACTACTACCAGATCTTCAAGAACCTTCTTCATACATCATGCAGAGGAGAGCAGATTTGCCCTGTGATGCAGTGGGAACCACTTTAGAATGTTGAGCAAGGAGAGAAACATTCCTATTTTTCCTCTTTGGCATGGAGTAGAGGCCAGATCAGGGAGGGGTATGATTTAGGTGTCTTTGGATGAGTTTGGAAGGCCAGGACATGTCAATGATAGTTGAATGGACGGATGGGACAGAGTTAAAAGCTATTATGCAGGGAGCATCAGAGTTGATGGAACTTTAGATTCTTAGATGGGAGAAGTGAGGAAGAGGAGCCAAATGCAGCTCCATGTTTGTTATGGACCTTCTTACAGCAATCTCAGGGGGAGCTGGACTGCTCAGACAGCAGAAGGTGAAGGAGCAAAGAGGGCAAGTGTAGACAATGCTTTGAAGGAGTTTGTATGAGGGAGCTGGAGGGGAGTAGAGGGTGAAGAGAGATTTTCCTTTTGCTTTTGACGTGTGGGAAGTCTGAGCATATTTATATGCTGAGGGCAAGGGGTCTTGGGCGAGGGGAAGCCTGGAAGGACAGAATACAGAAGTGATAACTGATGGGTAAGACTCCTGAGTGGTGCATGGTACAGAGGAAAGCGGAAGCAGACTCATCTTCCTCTGAGGAAAAGGATGTGGTAAGAAGATTTGTGGAAGGTTCCAGATTTGTGGATAGTGAAACAAAATATTGAGGGACTTTACATGTAATCCCTCTCTTATCAGTTTGAGGTAGGAAGCACATTAGACTGGGGGCAAAGTGGGGCTGGGGGCTTGAGAGAGTATAGCAGGTCAACGTAGAGCAATGGAGGTGAACTACCTGAGGACCAAGGGATGTTAATGCCACCATTGGGGTAGGGCCCAGGATAGGGCATCACTGGGTCATTATCTCTGGAATAAAGAGGGAACTAGTAGGGCAGCAACAGGAGCAGATGATTGGTTGCCCTGTGATTCTATGTACAGGAAGTGTGGCCAGGGAGCTATAGAGCAAGGAGTGAGAGAACAATAAAATGATGGATTAGAGCCCTGGGATGAAGAGGAGGATGGAACAGGGAGCTGGTATGCGTGGAGGACAACTCAGGATGGGAGATCATGATGAGGTCAGACCAAAGATGACAGATGATTAAGGGTCCTGAGAAGACCTAGGCTGTGTTCAGATGTTAGATTTTAAGATTTCAAAGCCAGAGACTTTCTGGGTGGCCATCAGATCCAGGGTGTGGCTGCTGATGGGGAGGTGAAAACGGTCACGAACATTATGCCAAGCATAATGCTAAGTGCTTTAGATGGATTTTGCTACAAAATCTCATGGCAATCCCTGTTTTACAGATAAGAAACTGAGGCAGAGAGGGAAGAAAGATTGAAGAAGGAGCCACCAACGAGTCATTGTTCAGGCTGCAATGTGAAGGTAGGGGGTCTTTTCCATTCTCAATCACTTCTCATAACACCCTGACAAGCAGTTGGCTGAGTCAGTTCCACATGTTCATGTCCCTCAGGATGATGCCAGTGGTTGGAGTGGAGAGGAAGATGATAAAACAGGAACTGAGTCTCCCATGAAATGTTGATCCATATCAACATGATAGACTCAACCCGCCCTTGCTGGCTCCATCACCATCCCATATGGGTCAAGTCAGCTCTGCGCTTCAAAGGCTGATAAGCTTCCTCCTGGGCATATCTGTCGCCTTGTGGTGGATGCTCAGGTTCCTGAGGCACTGGCTCTGTGTCTGGTTACTGGAGCCTGGCCTTGGCATTGGATTCAAGTCCCAGCCATCAGGGGCGGGAAGCGGGGCATGGGAGGGATCAGCCTTGAAATGTCACTGCTACTGTCTCAGGAGGGAGAATCACCCAAGAAAAAGCACTGTTGAGCGGGGCTGTGAATTGATTGGGGAGAGTGGGGAGCTTCTTTGCTTTTCACCACACTCCTCACCCAGACCAAGATGGACAGTCTCCCTGGGGCCATGTTTTCCAAGGGGTGTCAGTGCCCCAGACATACTTTAAATTTTGTGGTTGCTTTCCCAGGTGAGTGTTATTGTGAAGACTCTGGTTGTTCACCAGATTTGTCCATTGATCCCAGTTGTTGTTCTTATCTCATTCTAACTTAAATCCTTTTTCCTCTCTGTTTATCCCATCACAAAGAAGATAGCATGGTGTGGTAGAAATACCTATATTCACCTGTTTCTTTGGCACCTATTTATTGGATTCTTCAACAAATACAGGAACATGAGTTTTGGAGGAAGATGGGCTGGGATTTAGTCCTAGTTGTGTGCTACCCAAGTAGGCAGGTAGCACATCATAATGTATTTTGGATGTCAGAGATGAGCCATTTTTAACCTCTAAGTGACAGGGGCACTCTGTGACCATGGGGGAATTTATTACACTCTTGGATCCTCAGTCTATTTTTCTGTACAGTGGGGCTTTTGTATCAACTTGGCACAGTGTTTATGAGAAATCAGTAAGAAAATATTGGGGAGAGCCCAGTGCAGTGCCTGGCATATGGCTTCATCCAAATCTGTGGATTCCTCCTCCCTCAAATCCCATATATATATTTTTTAAGTGACAGAGAAATGGCATTCCCCAGATGAAGACAGTCTGGTTGCATAGGGAATGCATTTTATTTTTATTTTTATTTTTATTTTTTGGTATCTGCTTGGTGGGTACCCTGTTCATGTTGATGGCAAAGGTCATTGCAGCTGGGTTGGGTGACCATGAGTCCACTTAACCCAGCTGATAAGTGTGGATATTCTGAGTGGAAGAAGAAGAGAGTTTTAAAGAGCTCATTTCAGGGCTCATTTTTTAATTTCCTATCAGCCCAGCTCCCACCTCCCTCCTTTCCTAGCTGGCTGGTCTGGAATGAGCCCAGTCAGGGGACGTGGTGGAATCTGTTTGGCTCAGTGTTTGTACAACAGTCCTTGGTGCCCAGATTGAACTAGGTGGGAAAGAGTCCAGATACCTTACAACTTAGGACACTGCAATTGCACTCTTCACAGGAGGTACATTTTCTGGATGATCCAGACCTGTTCTCTGCCTGGCAGCTTCCATTTCAGCACCTCTGGACCTGGAATAAGGACTTCGGGTCTGGTGGGGCCCATTCTTGCTTTGGCTTTGGGGGAAGTCAGGGTTCTGCCTTAGCTTTGCCGGGTGTTTCAGCTTGGATATTATATCATCCGGCTTCACGTCCTGTCTCTTCTCACACATGTTGTGCCATTTGTTCAAACATAAGAAGTGCTGGGGTTCTGTGGAAAGAGCAAAGGATTTTGAGCTTTGCCACCTGGGATGGGCTCCTGGCTTTCAACCTTTCTAAGTGTCTATTAGACCAACTCCACACAGTGTGTGTGAAGTCCAGGGGCATAATGCATGTGAAAATGCCATGAAAAATGCAGAAAGCTAGATGGATATTAGTTACAGTTTTATTTATCATTATCCTTTATTTATAGACCAACACCTACCTTTGGAGGCTAGGCTGCAAGAATGTCACAGATGGTTTGTTAAAATATCATTAATATGTCAGCAATTAATAGAGAATGGGAGTAAAAATGGCTCTGTGTTTATGCCCTCATTATTTACCTTTAATAGTGGTATTTGTTGGTCTGGCGTGATGAGCTTCTGATAGGGAAGTTTTGAGACTCTATTTTCAGGGTTTTTTCCTTTTTTAGTTGTTTAAAAAGTCAGTGCATCATCCTCAATGACTTTAATGGAGATTAAGTGAATGAAGTTCACACTATTGTCAATGGTAATTAAAAAAACAACTTCAGATCTGTCAGACTCACTGTGTTGGGAATGGTAGGAAAAGTCAATGATCTGGCTTCAGAGCTAAATGTGATAATTGCCCCAGGTTCCCTTTCTCCTTTGTCTCTGTCCTGCTCATCCTGCACATGCTAGCCTCACTGTAGCCACTTCTCAAGAATCTGTCATGGCTCCCTAATGCCTGATGTGTTCCTCAGAGTGGATTGTGCCCTTTCTCTCTGACAGTGTTCGCTACTTTTTCCCATCTGTAATCTGTGTTCCAGTGTTTCTGTGCTGTGTTCTCAAGATTTACTGTCAACTTGAATGCTAATTTTTGTAAAAATACACCTTAGGGTGTAGAGAGGGCAGAGTGCTACCATGGTGACAGTCCATGCCATTTGTCCTGTCAGAATGACCTACCTTCTAAACCTTACTCAGGGCCAGCCCCACTTTCTGTTCCTCTAGTGAACCTGCTTTTGGTCACTACACACATACCCGATATCTATCCTACAGTTTGTGAGCAAGCTGGCGCATATTTGACCCTGTATAATCCTATAGCTCCTACCATGGTGTCCATACAGAACATACCTTCATGAAACCTCACCAACTGCATTAATATTGGGCTCTCCTGGGTCTTCAGAAGCTCAGGCAGTTGAATCAGGAAAATTCCCCAAAGTTGGTAACCTAAGTTACCCCCTCTGGCATACACCAAGTAGGTCTGGAGCATGAGGGCAGGATAGGAAAAGGTCTTTATGGACGGGTGTGCAAGTGTTCTACTGCTGTAACAAATTACTACAAACTGAGTGGCTTAAAACAACACATTTATTTTCTTACAGTTCAGGAGGCGAGAAGGCTCACTGGGTTAAAATCAGCAGGTCTGCATTCCTTTCTGGAGGCTCTAGTGGAGAATCCTTTATCCTGTGTTTCCCAGCTTCTAGAGACTGTCCACGTTCCTCAGCTCATGGTCCCCTTTCCCCAGCTTCAAAGTCAGCAATGTTGCGTTTCTCTGACCTTGCTTCCATCATCCTATATACCTATGCTGATGTTTCATCTACTGAGAAAATACAAGCCATGGTCACGATAGAACCCTTGACAAATCACTCAGCACACCAGCTATCAACACATTTACAGGTGCCTGCTACACACACACACTAGAGGTCCTGAGACTGTCTCTCATCCTGGGGCAGGGGAGAAAATGTCCTCATGAGGCAGGTCACTGATGAAGGCTTTAGAGAGGGGTGAGCACATTAGCTGACTCTTGAAGGAGATACCGGACATATGAAGGTATTCATGGGACAAAGTAGGGAAGGCATTTCTGGGAAAGCATGGAGGTGTAGATCAGCATGGCATGTTCTAGAATCAGCCAGTAGCTACCCCCCCCCCCCCTTTTGGAGCTTATGGAAGCCTGCTGGGATCATGACTCCTAAAATTCCAATTATATCTTGAAGGCTGTGGCCCAAGGCCATTTGTTGTAGGTTGCAAGCAAGGTCTTCTAAACCAGAGGGAACATACAGCTCTTCTCAAAAATAAAAGTGTTTATGCCTGAGATGAAACTGAATTTTATGTAGGCAAGACATGTGTTTCCATGTATAAAAAAAGTGAGTCCTGGCAGCAAACCAAAGTCCCAAGTAATCCAGGAAAAGGTAACTTGCTTCCATGAACAGTAGCATGGTTTGTGCCAAATTCTGAAGCAACCTTCCTGCTAAGGCCATTGGACACAGAACCCGTGGGATGTTGCATCTCTTAGTGATTTAGCTTGTTTACAAGTAAATAAAATTTTGAAAGAAGAAAAGAATCAGCTGTTCGATGCAATTTGACTAGAGATGTTTGGGGGAATGGCTGATAGTGGGAAATGCTAAAAAGTAGGTAGATGTTACAGACTGAATTGCACCTCCTCAAAATTCATGTCAAAGTTGTCACTCTCAGTGCCTCAGAATTTGACTGTATTTGAAGGTAAGTTTTTTTTGAAGAGGTGACAAAGTTGAAATAAGGTCATCAGGGTAGGCCCTAAATCCCCTGTGACTACTGTCCTTATAAGAGGAGGTCAGGACACAGACGCAGGCACACAGGGAAGACCATGCGAGGACACTGGGAGAAGATGACCATCGACAAACCAAAATGAAAGGCATCAGAGGACACCAATACTTCTGACAGCTCGATCGCAGACTCCCAAGCCTCCAGAAATGTGAGAAAATGCAAATCTGTGGTGCTTTGTTATGGCAGCCCTAAAAGTAATATAGTAGGTCATGAAAAACCATAAAAAATCATTGGATGCCATATGTACTGGATGCTGTGAGACATCACTTGCATCTCCTTTGAGATCTGATGGCCTCATTCCTCCAGTTGCTGGGAATGCTGTGGGCAGACAACCCTAAGCTGTCAGCTTCTTTCAGGAATTTGTCTTGGATCAAGTTGCCTTGTCCAAAGTCATGCCCGTTTCCCCAGGTGGTCTGCATCCAAGACTTGCTAACATGTGGATATAAAGGGATATTTGTCCCTTTGCCCAACTTGGTTCGACTGAAAGGCCATCTGGCTTCAGAGCTTCCCTTGGGGTTGACTGAGGGACTGCCTTACAGCTTCTCTTTAGTTATGCTCCCTTCCCATCCCTTCCCTTCCACATGGATTGATCCCAAGACTGCTCCTTAATATATTTCTATATGCTAACCTTTGTCTCCGGGTCTTCTTG